GTTTGGCCAAAAGTCAAATATATCTTAAGTTTTCTTAAGAAACCTGCTTTTATACAAGGCTATATTTGGTTACTATGGAGTAATGTTCTTTGATGCATACTACTTGTCTGAAGCATTACAGCTTTAACTTGTCTAATGGAATTTTATGGTAACTTTTATGATGCTAAAATTCCTTTGTGTTTGTCTAGGTTTTTCTCTCTACCACAGACAGAAAGTGTTAGATTTTTCTTCTTCTCCAAAGATGATGAGCGACTAAGAGGTATAACAGAACTTATTCACACCACTTCTAACCCTTACTGAAATTCAGTGAGAAAAAAATAATGCCTAGTTATTCATGTTTTGTAGTTAAAACACAGATGACAGGTTTAAGGAAAAAAAAATAAATTGCAAATTTCCGTCATACCTGTGGTATAAGTTGTGGTAGCACATCCCATGAGAAAGTCCTGGTAAAATAAATGCTGAACTATCTTGCTTTCCCTCTTTTCAGATAACTACCTAATATGTGGCTAGTCTTTTAGGGCTTACCAAAAAAATAAAATCACTTGACAAGTTATCTAGACACTTTGGATCCTTTCAGGCATATGTATCATCTTTAACTTCTTTTCTGTGTTTCCAGTGTTATGGTTAAGAATATTCAATATTCTTATCAGCCACATATGCCCACGTGGTTCTTGATCCTAAATAACACAGGGTTTTTTTTCTGGTGAATGTAATGAATTTCGTAGTTAAAAACAAACAATACAACAACAACAAAACACACACAACAACCCACAGGCCACCAAAAAGGTTACTTCTGATGTTTTATACAATAAATTATTAGGACAGCCTTAATCTTTGTTTCCTGAGACATGTTAGCTTGTACACATACAGTTAATGATGTGTTAATACAGTTATTGTACCTTTCAGCCTGTCTGATTTACAGTGCCTATTAAAATAGAGCTCTGAATCCTTAGCAGGCCTAAATTTTCTGGGGAGATGTGGGTTAATGGTGCTGAGCTTTTCATGAAACAGATGCTGTTTCACTGCAGTTTATATTTCAGCATATTAAGGAAAACTGGTGCTGCCTTTCCTTTTTCTTAGTACACAAGGCTGTAATACTGTAATGCTGCTGTTTGAGCCAAATGTTTTGGGGGTAAGAGAAGAATATGAAGAATAGGCCACCTGACCTTATCGCTGTGTTGCTCATGAGATTTAGAAACAGCAGCCTATTCAGCAGTGTTTAACCGTATTAATTCGTTTTTTGTTTTGTGCAGAGGGCCCTAAGTTATTTTGTAGATCAGTAGACCTCACTGAAGAAAAAGATGGTTGGGAAGACAGACGTAGATTGTTGCTCGAGGTGAGTATTTTAACATCTATTAGTGGGTAACAGCAGCTGAAAGCTCAGCATGAGGAGGGAACATGGTTGCTTATTTGCTTAATTTGCATTAAAAACTAATTCAGGATGTTTAGAAGGGCTTGAAACTTTATAATTACTAGGGAATTAAAATTTTTGGTATAGAAGTGTATATAACATCATGTTGTGATATCCAGTCAGGTGAATTACTGAATATCTGTATTGTACAGAACCAGAGACTTTACTGCATGTGTGTAACAGAAAAAAAAAAAAAAATTTGCAACAAAGTAGTGAATTTAGAAACTTCTCCTAATATTATCTTAAAATTTAAATATTTTCAGGAAT